CGGTGCCCGCGGCCGAGACGTTGAGCGTGGCCGAGGCCGTGGTGTTCCCGGCCGAGTTGGTCACCATGCAGGTGTACTGCCCCGTGTCCTGCACCGTCACGTTGGTGAAGTTGAGCGTGCCGTCGTGCAGCACCGAGATCCGCACCCGGTACGAGCCGTGCGTCATCAGCGTCCCGTTGGGCGTCAGCCAGTTGACCGAGGTCATGGAGGTGCCCGTGCGGCACTTGAGCTCCGCCGCCATCCCCTCCGTCACGTTGAGGTCGGTGGGGGGCTCCACAATGACCGGGGCGTAGCAGGTGAAGTGGCTCTGGTCCAGCTCGCCGATGTAGCGCCCCTTGAGGTTGGCCGGGGCGTGGCAGCGGGCGCAGCAGGTGGTGTTGTTGGGCACCGTCTCCTTCAGCCACCAGCTGAGCCAGAGCACGTCACAGTTGCAGTGCCAGGGGTTGTGGTTGAGGTGCACCCGCTCCAGCCGGTGCAAGGGGGTGAAGAGGTCGTGGGGCAGCGACATGAGGTTGTTGTGCGACAGGTTCAGCTCCTCCAGCGACTTGAGGTCGTCGAAGGCGTTGCGCTCGATGGTGGACACCTGGGCGTGCATCAGCCACAGCTTCCGCAGGCTGGTGAGGCCCTGGAAGGAGCCGGGGCGGATCATGTCCAGCCGGTTGCCCGACAGCTCCAGCTCCTCCAGCCGCACCAGCGCCGTCAGGTTGGGGATGTCCTTCAGGTTGCACATGCCCAGGTTCAGGTAGCGCAGGTTCACCAGCCCCTCGAAGGCCGCCTCCGAGATGTACTCCAGCTTCTTGAGCTCGCCCAGGTCCAGCCGGCGCAGGGAGGGCACCCGGTTGAAGGCGTAGGAGGGGATGCTCTCGCTGGGGGTGATGCGCAGCCACAGCTCCCGCAGCTTGGAGAGGTACTCGAAGGCCTGGGTGGGCACGGTGGTCAGCCGGTTGTCAAAGAGCTCCAGGGTGTTGAGGTTGGGCAGGCCGTTGAAGGCCCCCACCTCCACCTTGCGGATCAGGTTCTTGCTCAGCTGCAGGATCTCCAGGTGCCGCAGGTGCTTGAAGGTGTCCGTCTTGATGAGCTGGATGTGGTTCTCCTGCAGGTTGAGGTACCGCGTGTTGACCGAGATGCTCTCCGGCACCTCCACCAGCTCCCACCCCGTTGTCCAAGGGTCATGCTTTAATGGGCGACACTCCCTCCGGGCAGGCTCTCAAACACCTGGACACTGGAGATACAACGGGGGAGAGAGAGAGAGAGAGAGAGAGAATTAGCATCGGCCCTGGGCCACGGGAGCCACCCCCGGGGGAGGAGAGACCAGTTAACGTGGTCCTGGGCCACGGGAGCCACCCCCGGGGGAGGAGAGATCCAAGGGTCATGCTTTAATGGGCGACACTCCCTCCGGGCAGGCTCTCAAACACCTGGACACTGGAGATACAACGGGGGAGAGAGAGAGAGAGAGAGAGAGAATTAGCATCGGCCCTGGGCCACGGGAGCCACCCCCGGGGGAGGAGAGACCAGTTAACGTGGTCCTGGGCCACGGGAGCCACCCCCGGGGGAGGAGAGACCAGTTAACGTGGTCCTGGGCCACGGGAGCCACCCCCGGGGGAGGAGAGACCAGTTAACGTGGTCCTGGGCCACGGGAGCCACCCCCGGGGGAGGAGAGACCAGTTAACGTGGTCCTGGGCCACGGGAGCCACCCCCGGGGGAGGAGAGACCAGTTAACGTGGTCCTGGGCCACGGGAGCCACCCCCGGGGGAGGAGAGACCAGTTAACGTGGTCCTGGGCCACGGGAGCCACCCCCGGGGGAGGAGAGACCAGTTAACGTGGTCCTGGGCCACGGGAGCCATCCCCAGGGGAGAGAGACCAGTTAACATCTCCAAAGGCTGCAGACTTAGGGAGGGAGAATGATCCCCCACCTCCAGGCCCAGAGGCCCTGAGTAAATTCCTCCTTCCAACCCCGGGGGACATTCTGGGCCCCCATTTCTACCCAAGGTGAGGGGGCAGCGCTGGCCCCAGAAATCCTGGCAGTGGGGCCCCATAAAGGGCACGTTAGGGTTGACCGGAGACGCGGGGCAAGACCCGCACCGCCCTCCCCCCAGCCCTTCAGGGGCCCAATGACCTTTCCCTGCCCTCGCCCCAATTGTAAGGTCACAGCCTCTCGGGGGGTAAAATCACCCGCAGCAAAACTGCCTCCCTCCCAGTCCCCGCTTCCCCTCTTTTTATTTTAAACACATAATTTCCCTCGGCAAACAATTTGCAAAGGCCACCACTGCCCTCCCCCCCCCCCCTCCAAAAAATCCTTTTGGAAATCTGAACTCCCCTCCTCAACACACGACTGCGATCCCAACGTTTCTTGCTTTGCTGGCATGTTTCTCAGTGGAATTGGGGGGGGGGATGCCCCCACTGTTTTGAATTTCCCGCCGCTAGTGAGTGGTGATTCCTCAGCAGCTGCGGCGCACGAAGGAACCCAGCCTTGGACAGAGGCTCACCCAATGCCCGCGATGGTCACGTCCAAGGTTGCCTGCATTTTTTCCACCCACGTGCGGAATGAATTTTGTTCCATGCACCGAGACACGGGCAGATGTGCACCACCAGGAAAAAACACAGGCTGTGGGCGCTCTGCTCGTCCTCTGGGTGGCTTCTGAATCTCTGCGAGCGCCAGATTCCAGGGCACAATGATCACGTCCTAACCCAGAGAGCGCCTGGCTTACTCCCCAAACCAAGGCCTTGCTTGTCTCCCTTCCTTTGCCAGCACTAGCTGCTCTTCCGCTGGATTCTCCCTGCACTCTTAGCCCCCCTGCCTTCCAGCCCCATGGGTGACCCAGAGTTCCACAGGGCTTCGGACCAGAAGGATCCAGGGGGTCTTCTGAGCATCACAGAGCCCTGAAATCTCACCTAGCTCCCCCGCCACTGCGTTAGCGTTCTCAGCGGTTCTCAACCAGCCGGTCGGGACCCCACAGTGGTTCGCGGCTCCGTCTTGATGGGGTCGCCAGGGCTGAAAGCCGCAGGTAAGAGCCCCGTGGGCAGCGGGCGGGGTGAAGCCTGAGTTAGACCAAAGCAATTCACACCTCGAAAGGCTACAGGCCCCGAATCCTTCCCTCGCCATCCCGGACCCCCAGCAAGGTGTGGACATGATACACCGGGATAACAACCAGACCAACACACTGAACAGCATCCTCTCTCTAACAACTGTCTCTGCGCAGGATGTATTGCAACAAGGCTACAATAACAACTGTCCCAACACCTGGCATGTGTACCCACAACCTGACATTAACCACAATCCCTACACTTGGCGCTCAGCAACACCCCGCCAGGAACAATCACACCAATGCAGGGTATAGTAACAACCGGATAACAACAGCCTTCCCCTGGCAGGGCATAGAGTAGCCACTGTGGAGTAACAATCGTTCCCACCCATACAATAGAACCTTGACCTTCGACTTTCCCTGCCAACATACACACGCAAACTCACTCACACACACACACACACAGCAACATCTTTCATTAACAGCCCTCCCCACAATGTGTAGCTACAATCCTACATTAACAACCATCATCACAGGATGTAGTAACACCTCTAGAGCAAAAAACACACACACACCATTTATAGCGCCAACCATTTATTGACAACCAGCCATACACAGGGTATTACAACATCTTGCATTAACAACCATCCCCACAAACAGTTTTAGTAACAATCCTGCATTAACAACCATCACCACAGGATGTAGCAACACCTCTACAGCAGCAAATGTTTTCTCTCTCTCTCTCTCTCACACACACACACACACACACACACACAGGTATTGCAACATCTAAGCAATAAAAACCATCTCTACACACCAGATACAGCAACAATCCAGCATAAATTCTATCCTCACACACAGCACATAGCACCAGTTCTACGGTATCAACTGTTCTCACGTCTATGGCACAGAAGCAACCACACGCTAACAGCCACCACACTCACAGTGTCTAGCGTCAAACCTACGTTAAAACCTGTCCTCACACACAGTGGATAGCAACATCTCTGGATGGCAGAGGAGCATCCCTGTGCTACCAACCAGTCCCCTCCCCCAGTGTATAGCAACAGCCCTATAGTAACAAACATTTGCACACACCATGTGTAACCCACATCCCAGCATTAACAACCATACATGCAGGGTGCATCTAGACTGGCAAGATTTTGCGCAAAAGCTTGCCAGCTGTCTACACTGGCCGCTTGAATTTGCGCAAGAGCACTGACTTTGTAATGTGCAAAATCAGTGCTTCTTGCGCAAATACTTTCACACTCCCGCTCGGGAAAAAGCTCTCTTGCGCAAGAATACTTGCGCAAGAGGGCCAGTGTAGACAGCTCAGATTTGTTTTGCGCAAAAAAGCACCGATGGCTAACATGGCAATCGGGGCTTTCTTGCGCATAATCGCATCTAGACTGGCCACGGATGCTTTTGCGCAAAAGCATCCGTGCCAATCTAGACGCGCTTTGGCAGAAATACTTTTAATGGAAAAACTTTTCCATTAGAAGTATTTCCGCAAAATCATGCCAGTCTAGATGCAGCCACAGTGTATAGCAGCAAACCTACAGTAGCAGCCAACCACACATGCCAAATGGTAGCAACCCTACCCCAGCAGCCGTCTCCACACACAATGGCTACGTCTACACTGGCATGATTTTCCGCAAATGCTTTTCACGGAAAAGTTTTCCGTAAAAAGCATTTGCGGAGAAGAGTGTCTAGATTGGCACGGACGCTTTTCCGCAAAAGCACGGCAGAAAAGTGTCCCTGTCAATCTAGACGCGCTTTTCCACAAAAAAGCCCCGATCGCCATTTTCGCGATCGGGGCTTTTTTTACGGAAAACAAATCTGAGCTGTCTACACTGGCCCTTTTGCGCAAAAGGACTTTTACCCGAATGGGAGCAGCATAGTATTTCCGCAAGAAGCTCTGATTTCAGACAGTAGGACGTCCGTGTTCTTGCGGAAATTCAAGCGGCCAGTGTAGACAGCTGGCAAGTTTGCGGAAAAACTTGCCAGTCTAGACACAGCCAATGTGTAGCAACAAGCCTACATGAATCAAGACACTATTTGTGTCAATGGTGCAACAACCATACAACAGCAATCACCCCCACACACATTGTCTAGCAACATTCTTGCAGTAACAATCTCCTCTGCACAGTGTACACTAACCGCTGATCCTTAATAAACATCTTTACACACAACAAATAGCTACAACCCTGTATTAGTCCGTAGTTGACACGCTTTATTACAACTCTTACAGCAGTAACAGTCCCCGGTGCATTGCAGCAACTCTATAGAAATAATCATCCACACTCAATTTACAGTAGCAGTCCTAAATGAACAACCAATTGCTCACAGTGTATGGCAGCAACACTACAGTAACAAACAATCTTCACAGTGTACTGTGACAACCCTATACATGCGGAGCATGATCGACACACTCAGCGTATATCAACATCCGTACAACAACTGTTTCCAAATACAACGTGTAGCAACCACTCTAGAGTAACAATCGTCCACACACCATCAGTCATAGAAAACTTACACGAGTAACTGTTCACACACACCCACAGAGGGTATAACAACCCTACATTTTACAACTGGTTTCGTAGTGTAAAGCAACCGTCCACTACAAACAACCGCCCCCTCATACCGCATATAGCAGCAACTCTACAGCAGCAACTGTCCTTAGAATACATAATAATCATCTACTAAAAACCATCATCACTGGGAGAATATAGCATCAACCCTCCATTAGCAACCATGTGTGCACACACACGCACACACTATAGCAGGATGTATACCAACCCTCCTATAACCCTACATCAGATCCTGTTGACACATACACTTTACTTACTCCAATCACAACCCCACACCATCTATAGCAGCAACCCTACAGTAACAACCGTCCACGTGCAGCATGCCACGAACAGTTCCCACACGTGGTGTATCGCAACAACCTACAGTTAAAAACCACCCATCCGCATCGCAGACAGCAGCATGCCTGTACCATGAACAGTTCCCGCACACGGTGTATTGTAGCAATTTACAGTAACAATCGTCCACGTGCGCTGCGGGCAGCAGCATTTCTGTATCACTGTGTCTGGGCTGTTGCCCCGCACTGGCACATAAGGGGTTAAAACACCTTGGGTGAGAGCTGGGGCTGGGAACCAATCACAAGCAGACTGGAGGCAGCCAATCAGGGCCCGGCTGGGTCCTATAAGAAGGGCTCCTGGACAGGAGGTGATCACTCTCGCCCC